CAAAAGAAAAGGTGTTGAAATCCTTTTAAGAATTTGAAGAATGTCATTTGTGTTGTTTTCCTTGATTTCTTTTATTTTATCTTTTCTTCACCTCTGTCTCCCTCTCTTCCTACAGCCACTAGCAGATGTGATGAAACATGTCGAAAAAGGTTACCGCATGGAGGCACCTGACCTCTGCCCTCCAGAAGTTTACCAACTTATGAAGGATGTAAGTCAGGGCTGAAAAGAGTTTTTCTTTACATATATGTTTGAAAAGAATAAAGGAAGTAAGGTTGTGTGTGTCATTTAAATTTCTGAATGGTTGCTTTTATATGTCAGGTGTGTGAGCGTTTAAACTAGTGCACTGTATCACCTGATTATTTTTTCTCCTTCACAGGCATGGAACGAGAACTGCAAACGTAGACCCACATTCCAAGAGGCACTCAAACGACTCACACAGCTGCGACAATCTAACCTGGCATGACCTAGAGTAGGGGCATAAATATAGTTAAAATTGGTGCCAATGCTAGATCATGCTAGAGATTTGAAGTAGTGTCAACTTCAGTGAAGTCATTTAACAAATGGAAGAAGAGATAGAGTGGAGCGTCAGTGCTTGAGGAATTGTTGCGTTGGTTGGAGGTCGACATATCCTGCTCACTCTAGTGGGAAAAGTGTGTTCCCAAAGCTCGAGTGCTTCGTGTTCCTCTGGCATGTCTGACACATAGACAGACTGGTGATGTTACTTCTGTAATGTGTGTTCATTACATGTGTATAAACGGACAGAAAGAAGAATGTTACAAATCAGGTATTAAGCCCAGGACACCTGAGCATTTGTCCCTCCAGACTTAACTTTCAATTTAGTGTCTTTAACTACGTGACAAATGTCTGAAATGTTGATATGATGATTTTTAATTATTATTATAATTTTTATTATTATTATTTTTTGTTTTTTTGTTTTTTATTTGTCAGTCATTGATTTGAGTTTATTCTAGAGTCCAAGAGAGGGTGTGTATTTGGTGTCTGTGTTCTGTGTTAAGGGCCGCTTCTGGAGAGGGTGCAACATTACTGTCTCTCTTCACAATAGCTTTTTTTTTTTCTTTTTTCTTTTTTTCTTCTTTTTTTTTATTATCTAGCTGCGACAAGTGAGCAATGCCGAAGATAAAAGGAAAAAAATGAATTAAAAAAAAATAATCTCCTAAATAATTGCTGTATTTAGAGATCATATATGTTCCTGTGTAGTGTGAAGCTGGCACTATGTTATTAGTATTTTTGTAATATAGTCGATATGATTTTTTTTTTTCCAGAGTATTATTTTGATTTTGTTTTCTCATTATATTGTTTGTTTTCTGTAACTGATGAAGTTGTAGACTTTTGAAACAGAGTGAAATTGAAAAGAAAAGAAAAGCCAAACAAAGTGCAGAGACAACATAGACATGAAGCTAATTTTTTTACTGCTGTGCACATTGTGATTTTAAATTTTTCTTTGGTTTTGTTGGGATAACGTGATTGATTATGTGATTGTTTTATCGAAGGCCTTGTTGACTGCTTTCGGGACAAGAGGACTGTAGTTAATTCCCCTCCCAACCCTCACCACCAAGCCTCATATGTGTACTGTGTTATGGTAGGGGGACGAGATGATTATCATTAGGCTTGATTTAGAGTCTTGGCTAATGTATATCCTACTAAACTTGTGGGCTGGTTATGCCATTATTCTTTCTTTTTTCTGTATCTAACATGAAGTAAAGTTCATGTACCACATGTAAGTGTAATTATTGTGTGTAAGAAGTGAGTCAGTGAGTAAATATACACATGACATGCATGCTTGGGTGTAAATCCCAGATTTCTATTCTTTTTAAGTAAGACATACTTTCAGAAATCAAAATCAGCACCATTTCATGCCAGACTATGTCATCATTCATACTGCAGTCAAAAGCACTTGATAACAGCAAATTGCAGGTGAACACAATTCAGTATGGCAGTTCTTTCCAGTCTCAAATAGCCAGCATGTGTGATTCTCTTCGAGGCCTTCCGGAATTCCCCTTCATTCTTCATTGTACTCGTATCAGTTTCATCACTGATATATGTTCTCTCTCTTAACTACTTGTGGTAAAATGGAGTTATCTGATACAGCCTACTTGGTATTAGTGTTAGGGCTCTCATCTAAGCAAACCATGATTTGTCTTTTAACTTTTTTTTTTTCATGTGTGTGTGTGTGTGTGTGTGCGTATGCGTATGTGTATGCGCATGTGTATATATATATGTGTGGGAGTGAGAGTGAGTGTGACTGCATGTGCATATGTGTGTGTGTGTGTGTGTGTGTGTGTGTGAGTGAGTGAGTGAGTGAGTGAGTGAGTGAGTGAGTGAGTGAGTGAGTGAGTGAGTGAGTGAGTGCGTGCGTGCGTGCATGCGTGTGCGTGTGTTTGGGTTACCAGCATGAATGTTTGTGTGTCTTTGAAACACACCGTTGCACATACATGCGAGTACTTATATAAAGAATACATGAGCTTTGTCCTCGTTAATCTATTGTTGGCAGAATGGCAAGAATATATGCCATGTTCATAGATGGCTCCACAAGTGCTTAATCACCAAGGAGTCAATTGCTTGTCCTACCTAGCTCACCTCTTTACCCTTTTCCTTGATTTCTGAAAAGATTCTTTTTCATTTTTTATTTCTATAATTATTGTAATTATTCACATTATAATAATCATAATGTCAACAACAATAATATTAATAGCATTACAAAAATATAGTTTCCCCAAAAACACAAGGAAAAGGGAAATCGGCTGATGGTTCATAAGCTTACCAATTACCTCCTTGGAGGCTGATCATTTGTGGTGCATCTATGTGCAAACAAAATTCACAAGAAAACAACAGTAGACAGTGAGATTACCTGGCACCATTAGGTTAAAAGAGGTCAAGATGGAAAGAAACAGGAATAGTTTGTTTGACTGGAGAAGCAAGAAAAAACCTACTTCATATTCATGGATTGCTTGTACACTTTTAGGAAATGCATAGTGGTCATGAAGTCATAACATGGCATCACTGTACTGTAATTTTTGTGTCGACTGTCTCCATTCCCCACCACAAGGAACTTTGGCAAGGAAGGAACCAGCCAAAATTTATCTCCTGGGATTATCTATGGTGCTCATAACATATCTTAAGACATCCCAGTTCCGGTACCTTGGAATGGGGGTCTCGTATTTTAACCCTGACAACAGTTCAAACAAAGAAGAAAATGTAAAACCAATCAGTCATCTTCAATTTTTTTTTTTTTTTTTTTTTTTTTTTTTTTCCCCCCCTTTCTTCAACCAATGTGAAATAACAACAACAATTATGGATGAATTCTATTTGTTTTGTTAAAGGAAAAAGGAGAAGAATAGAAAGAAAAAGAGAAAGTAATGAACCATTCCTTTTTTTCTTTCATTTTTATTTCTTTTTATTATAAGGCATTTAGCCGCATATTGAGGAAGATGCCTTATCAGTAGGGATTTGGCTGTGTGTAAATGCCATGTCTGTGTTATTCTGAAGCTTGACCAACTTGGTTGTACCTTTGATGTTCAGGGTTTGGTCGATAAATAACAATAAATAACAGTTAAATGTTTGTTCAATGTGACCTGTTCATGGCTGATGAACTGTAAACATTTTGTGATGACAGAAGTTTATTTGGATAAAAGAGTAACAGTATTTCAAAGTTGATGATCTTAAGTCTTGATTGTAACTTATGGTATTGAATAGTATTGCCACATGTCAGATCTCAACATGAGAACTGTAGAAGGAATATTAGTTGATTTGCATTTCTTGCAAATTGGCACCAACACTTACCATTCAAAAAAAAGAAAAGAAAAAAAATCTTATAACTTGATTATCTCTTTAATTCCTATTGGATGGAATTGATGAAATATATAGGTATGTGTTTGTTGATTATATTTTTGATATGTGAAGAGTAATGCCAGATAGACTTCTAGCATTTATAGTACTTGCCATTTACAACTTGGTAATAAATGTGGAACTATAGTATTTTCATTAATATATTCTGAAATGTTTCTTCCATGGAGATGTTATTATGTCAGACTTTATGTAACATTGGTGATCTTTTTTTTTTCCTCAAGGTTCTCTTCAATGTACGAGCCTCTATTACCCAGTATTTGTGTGTGCTCAAGTGAATGGAAGGTCTAGATTTAGTAAGAGGTCAAAGTGCATCCAGGTTATTTGTTTTTTGAGCCTGAGGAAGCCCATCTAAGAGTTCCTTTGATTCAGGAACCAGTTGGCTGTTATTTTTATTTCATTTTATTTATTTATTTTTTCTTATTCCATGTATTTATACTTGTATTTTCGAGGTACTAATGAAAACCGTTAATGACAAGAGTTTATTTATTTATTTTGTTTTTTTCCTTTAATGGAAATTTTCACTTTAAGAGGTAAATTTTCCTTTCTTCTCTTTCTACAAGCACTGTTTTAACAGGTAAATAAAGCTTGTATAACCTCTAGCTTAGGAATTATTCTCCTGGATGCACTTTCCATGTGTGAAAAGAATGCTGTTCTAAAACAGTTAAGTTCTGGACTAGAAAACATTTTTTATGGATTTTTAAGGAAAACTATTTTTTTTTCTAATGTTGTAAGAGAACTGGATTAATACCACACCAGTGATGTGCTATAAGTAGCTATGAAAGTAGTGGTGTGCTGGTCATTAGGTTAAGCCAGGTAAGTTTGTAGTTAAAAAAAAATAACACAAATTGTAAAAAGAAAGTTTTGGAAAGTGCTGTTTTTGTTATTTTTTTTCTTCCTTTTTTTTTTATCTTTTCGTTTTTGGCAATGAACTGCAGTAGTTCAGTTGTGTATTCTTTTTTTTATTTTGAGTTGTAGATATTCAATTGGAGCAAATTTTTATTTTTTAACCAGATCTTTTTAGGGAAACATCAGTGAAAGCTTAAAATCACTTCAGCTTACAAAATGATTTTTTTTGTGTGTGGCTTTTATTTAATTGTTCATAAATGGAGAACAATAAAAGTACTACATTTTCAGTGTTTTCTTGTTTTTCCTGTATTCATATTACGTGTGTGTGTGTGCATGTGCGTGTGTCCCCAATCATCTTTATCTCTCTCCAGGTCTCCCTCTCCTCTCCCTCTCCCTCTCCCTCCAGTTCCCTCTCTTTCTCGATCTTTCTCTCTTCACCTCTCTCTCCTCCCCTCCTCTATTGATCTTTCTTTCCCTTTCTCTTAAGTGATAGAAATACATAATGTAGAAGTGTTGCTTAACCTTTTTTTCCAGCCCCTTTGCATCCATACCTGAAATTTCCTCCAGAAATTAAATATAAAATGCAAATGGAATTCAAAACTTGAGAATAACAAACACAGCAACACTGAGTTACTCACAATATACCAATAAATTTATTGCAGCTTACTAAGATTTTGGGATCTAAATTTGGGCAGAGCTAATGACGTTTAGTAAATGAGAGTGCGCTGTGAGATATCAGAAATAGCTTGATATAGTTATTTGTATAATTAACTTTATAGTTATATTTACCAGTAAAAACAAAATTCCCCCACATTTATCCATGATAATTAAGAGCTCCTGAGCATTAACCCCCCCCCAATCCCTTGCCCTTCCTTGTCATGGGGGATTTAGGAGGTGAGGATTGGGACCCAATGCAGGGCAAGTCTTGCCTTGGGAATCAGCCCTCGACTCAACTAATTTTGCATAGTCTTTTGTCCCCTCCTGCTTCTTCATTCCGTCCCTTCCCCAAACCCTTCTCCTATCCACTTCCTAAAGTGTGAGAGCTGTGCTGAAAGGATGAAAGGCTGACTTTGTGCCAGTCCTGAATAGCCTGAGGGAGCCATGAGGGATGGACTGTTTCTCTCCCCAACATACTCCAGGCTTACCATGACCAATAATAAAGATGTTATACCATTATTAGGGGCAATGAGACTTGTCCCTTCATCAAATAGTCCCACTAATTCAAACTCTCCTGAATCCCCGACTCCAGGCTCTCCTTCGACCACGGCTCCAAACACTGCAACTACTACTCCTTCCTCAATACCTATTAGTACATTATCCACCCAAGTCAACACTCAATCTCCAAGAGAATTTTCTACTCTCTTAACATGCTTCATCACCTCTACCCTCCGCACGACCTTCTTCATCAACTACCCCATCCTCCCTTATTACTACTTTACAGCCTTATTGTCCACCTGTCCATAATACTACCTCCCTCTTTCATATGCCCCATCCTTCTACTACCCCCATCTCTACAAAAATCTTAAATACTCTATTTAGCCCAGCCAAATGGCACTGATTTTTCGTGATCCCTCCTGCAGCTCCCTACTCTGGCAACACTTTTCTTCCAGCAATGTCTCCAAAAACAAGTAGGCAATGGCTCTTTCGACCCGATTTTTATAGGGGCTGCCCCACCTACAAATTTGAGTCTGCGGTGGCAATTCTCAGATTCAGACTTGGACTCACCCTACATGAAGCCAGGCAGGAAGCACGTCGTCGAGGTTTTTCTCTTACTCCCTACTCCAGTAATGTCGCTCATATCCGTCTACTCATATTCTACTTACACCGCATCCTCCTACTCCCTCCCAACACAGCCCATCCCCTCCAGCTCCAGCTCCACCTATATTAACCCTCCCTCCATCCCCTCTATCCCTTCCACTCCCTCCTGGATACACACGGTAATCCCTTATGTCACAACTATGCCCTTACCCAGATCTTCCACCAGCTGATACCCCTTCTGATACAACACCACCTCCCCCTTCTCATTCCTTATCGCACCCACTCTCCTTCATTGGAATATTCGCGGTGTCCGTTCTCACAGACCTGACCTTCGTCATATCCTTTCCTCTTATAACCCATCCAGCTTTCAAGAGACTTTTTTTTACACATCCTCCTATACCAATTCCCAATTACCATTTTGTCACTTCCTCACACTCCCTTTATGTCTCGTCTATACTTATCCATCAGAAAACACTTTATGTCATACCTCCCTTTCAAACCACTGTCCTTTGCACAGTTATTCGCATCTTCCTTCGCCGCTGGATCACAGTGATTTCAGTCTACTTCTCCCCTTCCCACTCCACTGACTTTGTTGCCTTTGAAAATCTAATTTTGCAACTCCAACCACCTTTCCTCATAGTTGGTGATTTTAACTGCCGCCACACTCTTTGAGGTGATTCTATCAGCAACTCCCGTGGCCGATCCCATGTATTGACCTCTCTCTATGTTCCCCTTCTCTTCATTTAGATTTCCATTGGCCAGTTCTATACCACTTTCCAGTTCTTTCTCCTACTTCATATGTACCAATTCCTAGCTCCCCACGCTGGTGCTATGATAGAGCCGACATTCACTTCACTCTCTGCTATTCCTACCCCTCCATCCTCCTCCTCGTCCATTTCAGTATGATACAATGTTTCACAACTACAGTCCTAAGAGCTGCCTATACAGCTATTCCTCGAACCTCAAGACCTTATACCTCCGAATGTGTTCCTGGTGGAATTCCAATTGCAATAAAGCGCTTTGCTTAAAACATGCAGCCTGGAACAGTTACCGCTACAAACGAGGCACCCCTAATCAACTATCAGCCCTCATCTCCTTTAAAAGAGCATCCACCTGTCTTCGTCGTACAATCCGGAACACTAAAAAAATAGCTAACGAAATCATGTTCCTTTAGTTACATCTTCTACATCTATCTCAACTGTTTGGCGGCGGATCCAGAAACTATCAGGCAAACATCTCCCCATCTAGCCCCGTCCTCCATATTCTAAATACCTTCATCTCTGATCCTCTCCAAGTTGCTAATGAACTGGGTGATTATTTCAGCCAGGTCAGTAGTGGTTCTTACCTTTCTCCACACTTCTCTTCTATTAAAACCATCAGAGAACACACCCCCAATATCTTCACCCTATCCCCCGCTGAGTCCTACGGTGCTCATTTTCTTTCTCTGAAACACTCATGAAGACCCTGACGGTATTCATTACCGTATGTTCCGACACCTTCCATCTTCCTCTCTGTCCTTCCTATTAACAATTCTCAACCACATATGGACGTCAGGAAATTTTCCTTCTCATTGGCGAGCTCTTATCCTCCCCTTCTTGAAACCCAGTGAATTGGGTACTCTCACTTAAGATTATCGCCCTATCGCTCTAACTAGCTGCTTGTGCAAACTACTAGAACGAATGGTTAACTTCCGCTTAATGTGGTATCTTGGATCTCACAATCTTTCCTCCTTCCCAGTTTCGTTTCCGCCGTACCCGAAGTATAGATGACCCTCTTGCTCATTTCGAGACATATTACATCTGCATTTGCACGCCATAACTCCTTTTTGTGGAGGGTGGCATAGCTCAGTGGTAGAGCGCTGGCTTTGCTAAAAAAAACTTCTTATTAGCCATATTCTTTGAGCTAAAAAAACATAAGATACTACATGGTAGTGCCATATTCTCCAACAATTGTCCTCTTTAGGCATACACGGAAACATAGGTGTCTTTATAAAGTCATTCCTCTCCAAACACACTTTCCAGGTCAAAACTGACTCTTCCACATCATCCTTCTTTCTTCAATTCGAAGTGTCCCACAAGGCAGTGTGCTCAGTACCACTTTATTCCTTCTTGCTGTTAATGATGTCTCATTCTACCACCAGGTACCCGGTCATCACTATATGTTGATTTAACCATCTCCGCCTTTGCCACATCCAAACCAGATCTCTGCCATTTCCTTCAGTCTGCAATATCAACAGTATCTTCCGGGGCCACTAACCATGGCTTCCGCTTTTCGACCTCCAAATCTTTCTCCATCCTTTTCTCTCGTGCATGTGTAGGTTCCCAACTTCCACCCTTCTTATATGACACTCCACTCCAATACCGTTCCTCTGGTAAATTCCTGGGCATTATTTTTTACTCCAAATTGTCCTGGTGAGACCATATCATTTACACTATAGATAAGGTTCGCCGCCGCCTCCGAATCATACAAACTCTGTTCCATATATCCTGGGGCTCAAGTCGCAAAGCTCTCCTCCATATTCATGTTACCTTGATCCTCTCCACTCTCGATTATGGATGCCATATCTACTCCTCTGCCTCAACTTCTCTCCTTGCCCATCTTGATACACTCCACCACTGCGATCTTCGCTTAGCCCTAGGTGCCTTCCGCTCCTCTCCAGTTGAGAGCCTGTACACTGAATAAGGCATACCATCTCTCTCTCGACGCCGTACCCTTCTCTCCCTCCGATGATATGCTTGATTCCACCAACTTTCCCACACTAAACTAACTATCCCACGATCCCTTCTTCCTCCCTTTGCTTCTTCATTTGCATGGATACCCTCCTCTCCCATTCCCCTTTTCCCCATCTCCAGTAACCTTCCCAACTCACAATTTCAAATACACTCTCCCTCCTGAAACTAGTGTCCTTACTACAGAACTGTATGCACTCCTTTTTACCTTAAAACACACATAATCATTCTCTTCTTCCTCTTTCACTATTTTTACTGAATCCAATAACTCGTTAACTCTCATAAAGTCAATACACTCGACCAACCCCCTTGTTTGTAAGATCCAGAACTGGCTGTTCTACCTGTCCACACGCCATTAAATTATCAGATTTTGCTGGGTGCCCAGCCATGTTGGAATCCCTGGCAATGAATAGGCAGATATTCTAGCACGCTACACCGATATGTCCACATCACACCAACCACGTTTCTCATGTATTCTAGCCATTATTAGGATTATTACTGCCACTTTAAGACCTTCTTGTATAACAGATGACAATCTTTCTGGTCAAGTCTCCGCACTAATAAATTGCATACTGTAAAACTATCAATCTCCTCCTAGTCAGCTCCATTTCACCGGAACAGACGTTGGGAGACCGCTCTCACCCGCTTACGCATTGGCCATACCGCTAACACACTCCTATCTGATGTCACACTCTGATCCACCCCTATGTTCCCTATGTAAGCTCCCTCTTTCAGTTCCACACATTCTCTTGTCCTTGTCCACACTTTGATGCAGCCCATACCTCTACTTTCCCCCACCT